GCATCTTTTCTTTGCACGCTTCCCAGCTGGCAATTTCTGCTTTGTGGTTCTCAAATCACACTTTGGCTGTCCCCTTCAGGTAGAATAGGATGTTCGCCAGCATGAGTGTTTCTTCCTAGCGATAATTCCTGCTTGTTCACTCGTACATCAGCAACCATTCCTCGATGTCGACTTTGTCGGTCCCACAGAACTAGCCCGGGTCTTTCAGCTGGGGCAGAACAATTGTCGTTATTGCAGTTGCCGCTGGGAAGCTGGAGCCGGGCCCTCTTGTGCCATCAGGATGAAATCAAGCGTCGGTCGCTGCGTAGCTCCGTTATACCGTCTTGTTACCCCGCACCACCACCAAAATTTCACAGGGTGAGAGTAGACAGAAGGTAAAAATATATCTACAGATTGGACACGGAGTACACAGTGTCCTTCAGACAAGATGAAAGAGCCACCACAACACGAGCTTTTGTTCAATCGTCATCATCGTCGCCTTTATGGTTTATTCCTTGATCTTCATCATGGCTTGTATCAATATCGCTCACCTTTATCACCTGAAAACTTGTTAAACACATTATCTGCTCTCACATTGCCTCTCATCTTGAAGCTAACGGCTTGTTTTTTTTTTTCAGTAATCACCATGGTTTCTGCCCAGGTTACTAATGCGAGACACAGCTATTTGAATTCACCACTAACCTTCATATAAACCTTCATTCTCTCCTCTAAACATATGTCATTTACCTTAGATTTTCCTAAAGCCTTTGACCGCGTACCTCATAAACGACTACTGGTCAAAGTATACAGCTTATGCATCCATCGACTAAATGCATCCATCCACTAATCGCATCATGTATCCGTTTCCTAATTGGCAGATTGCAGTTCACAGTAATCAGGCAACAACAATCTACAATTATTGAAGTATTATCGGAAGTACCGCAAGGTTCAGTCCTCAGACGCCGTTCGTTTTCATTTTCATTATTCAGCCGCCCACAGGTATTTCATCATCCATCTGGCTCTTTGCCGCTGATTGCGTCCTGTGCTGATGTGTAAGCTCACATAACGATCTCATGCTTTTACAACATGACCTCACTGCAATGGAAAAATGGTGCAATCAGTGGCTCATGCTACTAAACGTCAAAAAATTGAAATCCATGCGCTTATCACGGAAACACTCTCTCATATTCTACTCTTTGCATACTCTTTCCTTTGAGCCGGTTCAATCATACAGGTACCTCGGGGTTACCATCACAAGCAAACTTGCATGGTTCGAATATATCTATAATCTGGTGGCCGCCACTGACAAATCCTTGGGATTCATGGGATGGTCACTATCGTAATCACCACCCGTGATATGCAGACTACCATATGATACATTTATCCGCACTAAACTGGAATTTGCATTGACAGTATGGAATTCTCGTTAAGCGTACTTTGTTGACCTTCTTGAAGCTGTCTAAAACTGCGCAGCCCTGTTTATTACATTCCAGTACAACGATCAGCTAATTGTCACTAATATCAAATCATCCTTGGACATCAAATCATTAGCACTTTGCAGAAATATCTTTCACTTATGCCTCTTTTATAAGCTATATTACAACTTTTCATTCTTAGGGGACGTGGTTCTTTTTCTTTTACGCCGCCTGTCAACTCCCTCAGTCTTAAAAAAATTCACAGCTCTACCAATTCGTTCAATAACTTCTTTTTGCCGTTTTTCATTTAGAAATGAATAGTTTACCTGACCATGTTGTAATTGAACATCACCCATCAAATTTCTAAGCGTACTAATATATTTTTTGAGGGCTGATGCATAATAGATTGAGCTTTTGTTTATTTGTGTTCTCATATTTTTGAGGGAATTATCTTTCACATGTATTTTCACTGCTTGGAATTTCACCTGCTTTTTTGTAAATTCCATTGTTTGTTTTTTTTTTCAATTGACTGCTTGAATGTTTCGTTTCTCTTGTGTATGCTCCCCCTTATCAGTGATGGGAAACCTGCGCCAATCGCACCAACCTGCGCCAACTGGACATAACTACGTCGTACTGCTCAAAAAGGATGTCTTTTGTCTGATTTGTGCCATTGCTGTGCCACGAGGTGGTTTTGGAACCGAAAGTAATGTTGACAGCATGCATTGTGAGTGGATATTACGTGAGTGTCGTCATCTTGTAGGCTTCCGCTGCTGCATTAGCGTACACTTGCTCCGCTGCAAAAGTAGGGAGTTGGCCGATCAATTATTCCGGCTTCTGCGCAATTGCAGCGGCACCTTTTCTCATAAACATTGGCTAACAACGAAAACAATGACTTTTAGGTGACTACCTTGTGGGGTCTCGATGTAGAGAGCTCTACGCTCTTGGAGTGAACCGAACAGCTCACATTTATTTAACTGCTTTTAGATGATGATGTCATCAGCCCAGTTATTACTATACATCAACTGTGATCAACATGCTAAACGATGTTATACAATATTACACAACACTCACCAACATGACAAACACAAGAACACACACAAGGTGACTTCGCCAACGCTTGACTTACTACGAGGGCCCCCTGCAGACAACTCGTGGTGCTGCACTCCGCGGGCCCACGCGAGAGACAACCGTTCGGTACAACCGCCACCTGCCAAAGAGACCCGCTCATCTTTCCTGTGCCGCCAGGCGCCGGTGCTACCGTTCTAACCATGATGATGATGGTGATGAATGCTCACGAGCACAATGCCACCTACCGCTCAATAAAATGACCCCTGAATGTGGCTTCTGTGCGAAACACATGCGCCACGAGGCGCAAAGGACTTTACAGGTGAGGTTAGCACCTCGACAACCTAAAAGCGCGCCAGTATGACTTATTGACAACAAGAAGCTTACATGTGTGTGGCATAGCACCGCCTTAAGCCTACTGCAGGCGTTTAATAGCTGGCAACTACCCGAGAGTGCTGAGGCGCCGATCGCTGCCGCCTCAATCGTTGATGTCATTGAGCCCCTCCTCTCGATTGAGGTTCTGCCGCCTCAATTTTGAGGGGAGGGCTTGCAACCTTTGCATCTGATGGAACATTAAACTAAATGAAAGGTAAAAATTTTCTTCCTCTGTGTGTGCCGTAGAAAGCTCATGTGTGCTCCAAACACAGAGGTAGCTGCTACAAAAGCCGATTTTGCTGCTCCAATAGCTGCTCCAAAATGCTGAAAGGTGTTCCCACCACTACCTGTGTCATCTCTTTCTGCTTAGTTTCCAATGCTTTTGTCGGGACAAGGAAAAAGAGAAGGCAATTGGAGCGGGCGATGAATCTTAGTAACTCCACTCATACCAGATGGATTATGAAAATTTTTCGCCACTGGTAATTCTTGAGGAAATAGGCTGTTTTCTTGAATCCATTCCATGGCAACTTGAAAAGGTATTGCATTGTTCCTTAAAATGGAGCTTCGATGACAGTGCAGATTTCCTTTGTGTAGATGTTTTCACGGTTTAGTGCCCCTTCACTGCAGTGAGACCATCTTTACAGGATATTTTATTTAGATCAGTATACATTTTAATGTGCTTCTCCACTGCAGTGAAACTATTTTTACAGAGGCTTACATGCTAATTTACATTTATTCGTTCATTTCAAATACTTTGAAATTTTCAATAATTTAAATTCAAACCAAAGCGAATTGGAATATTGTAATATTCGTTTGAATATTAGCCCAAGCCTAACCAAGACTCACACTTGCTACATGTTGCTTTTTACATGTTGCACATCTTTTTATTAATATGCTTTTCGCTAGACTTTTTATTAAGCTTGTGTGAATATTTGAATGAATAGTAGGGTATGCAAGTTTGCTTCAATTTGAAATTAAATTATTGAGAACTTGGAAGTATTCGCAATGAAGAATTGGCGAAGAAATATATATTAACCCGTATGCAACTTTTTGTAAAAGTGTTTTCACTGCAGTGTAGGGGTGCTAAGCAGCGAAAGCATCTATAAAGGAGAAATCTGCCTTGCCAGGAAGCTTCACTTGATATGTCAAGAAGCCCTGCAACACATTTTGAGCATGTTCAGAAAATGCTGCTGATCTGTAGTCAAGGCTACGGAGAACACTCAAGGCAAATATAATATCGCAGCATGCGGCCTGCAATTTACAATAAATTCTCAGTCAGCTGCTCTCCTCTCTTGGCAGCTGACGCAAAGAGCTCAAAAACCACTCATCACCGTCATTGTTACAGCTATTGGCTGATTTGAGCAGGGCTCGCTCGGTTGTTACTGGAGCCGCCGCAGGTGGCCGTGACTTGTCCACATGGACATGCTCGATCACACTGAAAAGCTGCATATTCGAAGTAAAAAAGGGGGGGGGGGAAGAAAAAGTGCTCAAGGTCATTAAGTGCATGTGACATATTTTCATGCCCCTGCCATCCTTCCCGGCTTTAGCTTCCAGCTCTTTCGTCGTGACTAAAGGAAGAATGAAATATCAGAATGCGACTAATTTTGGAACTCCGCTCCTACCAGATGAATTCTAATAATTTTTCCAGCGGCGAATTTGTGATGCAGTAAGCTTCTTTAGTGAATTTCTTTCATGCCTACGTGAAAAAGTGTTGCGGGGCCTCTTTAAATTAACATATTGCCCTCAAATTGATTCATAATCTTTTCAAGCCTAAAAGCTTGTTATGCCAGCTTATATTTTCCAGGTATTATTGTGAACGTGCGGGTGCCTTTGATCCCCGCGTCCCGGGAGCGGACGTTGTACTGTTGCTCGGGGTGCCGCCAACGGCAATAAAGTGTTGTATGTTTTGTATTTGAACACTGTCTGCTTTGACGCGCCGCGCTAAACGCCTTATTAGTTGAGCGCGCGCGGAGCAGTGCGCTACACGAGAGTAGGTGGCGGAGTCGTGGCCCTGTGGCTCGCTAAGAGTGAACCCGCGGTGATCATTCGCTTAAGTTAGTAGTGGGGTCACCATAAACTGAAAAATCACAATTAGTGCAAATATATTTTTTATTGATATACTTCTTGGTCTGTAGAAGCTGTTGTGCCATGAAAACCCTTGCACAGGTGGCACGTCGCAGAACACAGCCAGCCCAACCACAGAAGCCCCCAAGCCGCGTGTTTCGAAGAGGAGTGCATCGCGACGTGGCCACTCCCAGCCGGAACCCAACCAAACCGCAGCCCCGCTCGTCAAAGCTAAGGAGACTCTGGTTGAGGTCAAAACGCAAGCAGGTGATGAAAGAGGGATTATTACATTTGGGACTTGGCCAATTGTTTGCAATATTTTCTTATTTGTGAAACAGCACAAAGTGATTAAAGAGGGACACATTGCATTCTTGGAAACACTTCGGCATGCACACAGTGGATGGGAAAACCGAAGGCGAGAAGACAAACAAGCGTGAACTCAAAACTGTTTATTGAAAGAAATACATGAAATATATATCCCAGGGTAGATGAAGAGTGCATGTGCGTAGAAAAACAAGCAAGAAAATGAAAGAAAAGAAAAGCAAAAGAAAAACCGATAACACACAATGACACTAATTTTTGCATAAATGGTATCTATAATGTGCATTAAAATATGAAACTCAAGTGTGACTTCTAAAAGATAACTTCTTGTCAGTTAGTGCAAAGGATGGGTTGCTTACGAATTTATCGGCACACTTGATATGAAACGCTTCTATTGATTCCCGAGTTAGCTTTTCTTTGTGATAAAACAAAATGATCTTGTCACACCAAACAGGAAAATATTGGCAGCTGTTGCAATGCTCGTCAAGTTTCCAAAAACTTCCATGGTATGACACATTGCACGTGAACAATTTCTTTAAATAATTGGTTACATTGGTGAAACTTGCCGAGTTTGCATACGTTCGTGTGCTGATTTCAAACATGAGAACATTTTTGTGGTACAATGTGTGGTTTAAAATGTCATATGTTTCATATATTCTTTTGGGAAGAAGAGTTTGCCTAAACTTAGAGAGTTACAAAGTAAGTCAGAATAATGTGAAAGGAGATCTATGTTTGCTATGAAACTAAAATGGATGTTTTAAGGTTATTGAAAGGAAATCTATGGTGTATTCAGTGTTTGTGAGTTGAAACCTGAGCTAGATATGAACTAATATTATGTTTACTGTACTGTGGCTTTTGTTCAGATGGGTTTGGAATCTCCATTCATTACAGTAGAAAGGGGAAGTTACGGTCAAAAGACAGGAAGATTCTACGAACAGTACAATTGCCATTGAGGCAGGGACTGAGCCAGTCCTAAATGTCAGGTTCATTTCAAAATCTGGCTGGCGTCATTTGCACTTCTTTCCTATATTTGTGAAATTTGTGTACATATTATCTCTGCTGGCTTTCGCTGCATTACCTTTTTCTTTATTGCGATAGCAATCACCATATTTACTCACGTAATTGTTGCACTCACATAATTCTCGCACCCCCCCCCCCCCCACATTGCCCAACAAGAATACGATTTATTTTTCCCCAAGTAATTATCGCACCCCCGAAAATTGCCGCAATAATGTCGTCTGCTCGTTCCAGCCACTCATGATAATAGCGTGCATCATCTGGCACCATTTCTTCAGCATAAAGCATACTAATGTTGCATGGAGATTCAATCCAATCCAAGCCAAGCCCAATTGACAAGTGTGCATTGCAGCATGATTTGTATGTTGTGTCCGTAATGTTGTTGCGTAATGGGGCGATACGGAAGCTACGCTGCTGCTTTCAAGTTGAATGTGATTGATCATGCACTAACGGCAGCTGAAAGCCACCAAAACGTGTTAGGCCTTTCGTGTACCTAAGACTGGGATGAATAGTAAACCTTATTTAGTCAGAAGGCAACTGCGGACGATTCTGTATTAAATGGCCATCAGCGCAATAAAGACGTCGAAAGGTAACCTTTTGCGGGCTCCTGTTGAGTGACAAACGCTAACGCTACGGCCGCAACGCCGAGAAGCTTTGCATTTTCAAATATTTGCTTGCGCTTTTTGTGTCTCAAATAAATCTTGCTTTGTGTTGAAGCTGTGCTCTTATTGTGGAGGTAAACTTAATTAGTACTTCTCAAAGCTTGCTGTTAGTTGCTGGTGTGAGATTCTCGATTTGTGGCCACTTCGTTTTCTTTTTCACTCTTTACGATTTCATGGAAAATTTTCCCCACGCTATTCTTGCACCTCCCAACTTTGCATCGGTTTCCCACCCAAAAAAAGTGAGAGGATTATGCGAGTAAGTATAGTATATGGACACTCTCGCTCAATTTTCACCACCGACGTCTTCACTGCCATCATTCACCATATATATAACGGTATGTATGTATATAAAAACGCAAGGAAATAATCAAGAAAAGACTCTCCGGCGTGCGAATTCGAACATCCAACCTCCCACTCCTGAGCGACGAGCGTTAGCCACAGAGCCACGAATGTGCTTGTGTGTCAACATTCAAATGGCAAGCTATTTAGTTACGCCATTTATAGCTGGGGGTGCCGATCGCGGGGGAAACATCAGCGCGTTATCAGCATTACTAGCGAGATAACGCAAAGAACACGCTCGGCATCCCACTCTTTGGAAAATGTGCTCATGCGCTCATTTCCATGCCTACCTACCCCCGTGGGGAATGTGTTTGGAGGGCGGGAGTGGGCGGTTGTACGTGTGCGCACTTATGTCGCAGTGTGGTAGAATCGTACGCCGTAGGCTTTCGCAAAAACGATTGTGTTGTAGTGACCGGATGCGCAAAGGCCGCTTCGCTTGCTGCACAGGCCCAGTTCTCGAAGAGTTCGCGCTTTTCAGACGAAGCAAAGTAACAACTGTGACACTTGTTAGTTCGCACTCATCTGTATCTGTGATTACGTTTTTTGTGCCGCTTTTGTTTATAGAGTGTGCTAAGTGTTGATCTGTAAACATTGTTAGTTTGTGCTCATCCTATGTGTGTTGTTTTGGTGCATCGTTTGTGCGTGAGCAGTACACTGCACATTTCGATCTGCTTACCATTCTCAGCGTGACATTCCAAGTTGTTGCTATCGCATTCATTGCTTCGCCCTTGCGGCAAAACAGTGACTTGTTTAATCTTAAATATGCCTCGTAAGGCCTTGAAATGCTCTAAAGGTGTGATGTGTAAACATGTGGAGCACTCCCTCTCTGGTGTATTTGCAGAGGAATCCCTGTCAGCGCTACTCAGGCAGTCTGCACACAGCGTGGGAGAGCGTTATCGAGTACTCGATGCACGAGACAAGATCATCCGGCTGCGTGAGAATCCACTTCATGACTTTTTTCACATGCATTCTTGATTGTTGGCAATTCTTGCTCCTAGTCACATCAGCGAATTCTTCATGCGTTGGCCTTGTTGTATATTGTGTGCGTTTAAATGTGAAGTAAAGAGTTTGTTTCGTCTCACATTAAAAAAAAATAAGACTGCAGAATATAACGCAGGATATTTATATAAAGAACACTACCTTTATTCGAAAAATTGCAAAATTTTAACTGAGTTCACTCGCCATTATTGACATGAGAAGGAGCTTTTCACGAGTGCTATTTTGGGGTGACAACTTGCCAAGATAACTTTACTAATTGTTGGACGTGCTGGACGAGACACCTGTGTCACAGTGTTTCTTGCACCAGTCCAGGACTTGTACCTTTACGCTCTGGCAAGAGCGCAGCTGGCTTTTTATAATCCGAAGTTATGTGTTGAAAAGCAAGACATGGTGTGACCACTTATTAGTGCAATTCTGTCACCATAATTCATAACACTTACAGAAAGTGTGATAGGAGTACATTTTCAGTTTAGGATAGAGCTATACCTTCTCCTAGTTATATAGTAGGGTAAGCTGTTCCAGCCAATTGTAGATTGCCTTTATATAGCTGCTTGTTATGAACCTTTCATAATTCTGAACAGTGTATTCAACATAGCCACTGAGATAGCCCAGGATGTTCTCTATAAAAGGTTTCAGTTTATTTATTTATTGAATAATACCTTACAGGCCCAAAAGTTTTAAGTAAGGAGGGTTACAGTGACTGCAGAAGTAAATTTGTAAGGAACAACTATACAATGCAGGTTAATAATAACAGTATAATGAGCTGTAAAAAAAAACTAGCAATTCGAGAGGTCAGCAGAACTTAAAACAAGAGATTAGAACTTGCTGATGAAAATAAAGGCCAACATTTCACAACATAAAATAGCTAAAAAAAACAAGTAAAACAATCTCACGATGATATATCAAAGAAATGCATCTGAAGTTTTTGCTGAAAGGTGTTAGGGTGACTATCAGAGGCGATATTGTCAAGAATATCATTCCACATGCGGATGGTTTGCGGTGGTGCTGATGTGTTTAACGTGCTTGTGTTACCAAACATGCGTCTGTACCTGAGATGATTGTGTAACTTGCGTGACGTGCAGAGGCGCATTGAAGGTGCAATGGCGATGTTTTGTTACTGTACACGTACTTATGAAATAGGCATAGAAAGGGCACGTGATGGCGAACATGCAATACTTGGAGGGAATGATCATGTTTAAGCTGAGTCACACAGGAGTGAATGTCGTAGTTCCTAGAAATGTAACGGCTGGCTCTGTTATAAATTGCTTTCAGCATGTTAATTTGATACTGAGCGGAAGGGGACCAAACGGGTGACCAAAACTGTTTGCAAATGCTAGATGGACAATGATAAAGGTTTCAGTGTAAATACCCTAATGTTTTGGCGGCGTTAGCGCAAACAGAAGTGACGTGTTCTAGCCAGGAAAGTCTTGGTGTAAGGTGGATGCCCAGATATTTGTAGGATGATGCCCGCGAGGGTATGTCATCTTGTATGTGGTATGAAAAGTCTGAGATGGTACGTTTTCGTCCAAAACAAAGAACTTTGCATTCATTAGTATTTAGCTTCATAGGCCAAGTGTTACACCAGCTAGAGATAGTGTTCAGATTATCTTGAAGGATGCGGTGGTCGTTAGGACGGTTTGTGGGTCTGTAGAGCATGCAGCCGCCCCCAAAGATTTTGATATTTGATGATTTATTAGATGGGAGATCATTGATCTAGGTAAGGAAAAGTAATGGGCCTAGGACACTCCCTTGAGGGACGCCAAAAGAAACATACGAAGAGGGAGAGGTAGAATTATTAACAGTTGGCACTAACTGTTTGTGCCAGACAGTCTCTGCTGGCTCCAAGAAATCTTTGTCCACAAGAATAGCCACACAGTCAATCTGAAAGGCAAATACTACAGTGCTAATGTGTTTAGGATAGAAGCCTCGCAGAATGCAAAAGGTGTATGAGATGCCATATGCAGTAAAACCTTATTTATTCAAAGTCACTAGGACTGTGAGAAATCTTTGAATCAAGCGGGTTTTCGAATGAACAAAATATACAAAAATGGGATGCAAGGAGCTTGAAATTATTCGAAGTAATCGGGGCCGGTTGTTTGCTGTGCCGACAAGTTCGTGGCTTCAGTGGTTATGTTTTCCAGCAATACAGGGTCACAATTTTGCCGCAAACAAGGAAGATGCCGTGATCAACAGCAATGTGCGTCTGCAAAAAACAAGACATCTTCACTGCAACACAGCAGTGACACTCGGCAGCATGTCGTCTGTACTCCAATGCGTCAGCATGTCAGGATGTAACTATTTGCCCATTCCTTCTTGTAAAATAAAGAACTTAATAATAGACAGTGTGACCAAATTTACGATGTGTTTTGGCTGGTAAACATGATTATTGAAGCTTTTGAACCGAGTTTTCAATGTAGGCGTTGCAGGCAAAAACTCCGCTAGCATTGCAAGTGCGCAAAATGCTGGAGCAATTGCGCTCGGAGTAGCACGGATAATATGGCTAGTTGGTATTGGTTCATCTTTTAACTGAATAAGGGCGCGCACACAAACACGGATACTACTAGAATAAGAAAATGTACACAGCGTAAGCGCCACTCGCAACTAAATTTGATTCGAAAGAAAGGTAGGCACATATGTGTCACTTTTGTCACATGACCTGGCTAGTAAAACATCAGAAAACACAAATGGGGCTATAAAACACGTGCCTTGAATCATACCCTCAGAGTGCTGATGAGGTATGAAAATTTGTGTTCTGTTAATGTGATGGAGGGTGTGCTTACGCATTTCTTCCCACTTCTAATGTGAAACTCCTCTATCAGCTCTCTAGCAGTCCGATCTGGGTCTTTAGATAAAACAATAGAATAGCAAAAAAAGGGGTGGCAATTGCACGAGCTGCACTGTTTGGGTAAGTGTGAACTATCTTCTGTGCCCAACGATCTCCTATGTTCTTGTGGCCTGGTGTTGAAACATCTTACCGTTTGGCCTATGTAGATGTGACCACAGGACAATGGTACCAAATATACAACACCTGTTTTGCACTTTATATATGACTGCTTATGATTCATAATGCATCCTCCTCGTTTTCGAACTTTTGTGTTTAGTGCTAGATTTCTATTCATTAAGCTACATAGATTGTTTAATCTGTTTGGGGCCGAAAATACCACCCAAACGTCATATCGATTTGCAATGTTTTTTACACCATGTGACAGCTTGTGCATGTAAGGGATGACAGAGGGTTTTTTAGCTGATTTCTTTATTTTATCATTTCCTTGATCCTCCAGTTTTACTGTTTTTAGTAGCTTCTGTGCAACCTTGCATAGGACAGGGTGAGGGACGCCAGCGCTGCTCAATCTTTCAAGATGATTTGAGAAACTTTCTGCCGTTTTATTGGAGCACGTTTTTTTTATTGGCGGGATTCAGAGAAGACGTAGCTACCGTATAAACTGGACTATAGGTCGAGTGGGAATATAGGTCGACCCCCCAAGTTCAGGTTACCGAAAAAAGAAAAAAAGGAAAAAAGCCCAAAACTGCCAAACCACATTTATTTGCGAATTGGGAGCACCGCACCCCGATCGTCGGAGCTCCCCTCAACCACAATTGCAACTGCTCCTATTCGTCTGACGAAGCACCACTGTATTCTGAAAACGAGAGTTTGTCGCTGGCCGCCTCCCACAGTGCGTCGTCTTCAGTGCCATCCAGCGAGTTGCTGATGCAACATTTCTTGAAAGCATTTTCCACCATGGAATCCGGCAAGGAGCGCCAGGCGGAAAGCACCCAGACACAAACAGTCGCAAGCGGAGGCTTCTGTAGGCGGCCCGTCGGTGTCTTGGGGTTGTCGCCAGACATCCACTCTTGGTATTCCAGCCGCACTCGGTCCTTGAACGGCTTGTTTAGCACAACGTCGAGCCGCTGGAGGGTGGACGTCATACCACCTGGTATCACGGCGAGGTCCGTTTTCCCGTCGCCGAGTGCGCGTTTCACTGCGTCGGTTAAGTAGGCCACGAAACGCATCGAACACCAGCATGCTGCGAAGACGCAGCAGTGCACCTGGCCGACGGTTCCACAGCACTCGTATCCATTCGAGCATCATGGCCTCGTCCATGTATCCCTTTTTGTTGACGCGAACGACAACACCGGGCGGGAACACTTCCCTTCGGCATTGTCTTGCATTTGAAAATGACGAAGGGTGGAAGCTTTCTACATCTGCCGTGCATGCCAGCATCACGGTGAAGCGTGAGTGCTCGTTGCCAGTGGACAACAGCTTCACATCCTTAGCGCCGCGCTGCGTGATCGTGGTCGACGAAGGCATGTCAAACCGCACGGGGGTCTCATCGGCGTTGCCAATCTGCCCCATCATGTAGTCGTTCTGCTCCCGAAGCCGGTTCACAAAGCGCTGAAAGTTTATGAGCTTGTCCTCGAACTCCTCCGGCAACTTTTGACAGATGGATGTGCGCCGCCGGAGAGAAAATTCTTTGTGTCACATAAATCGACGCACCCAAGAGTTCGGTGCACGAAACTCTTTTCTCGTGAGCCCAGCTTCTTGAGCGAGTTCCTCGGCTTTCTTGCGAATGGTACCCACGGTCACTGGCAGCGAGCGCGCTCGAACTTCCCGCACAGAGTCCGCTAGCTTATCCTTCAGATGCAAATGAACGGCACTTCGTTCACGAAACGACATTTTTCGAGGATTGCACATCTCCAGCTTCCCTTTCTGCGCCCCCCAATAGTGCACGCTTTTTTCCGCTACACCAAAGCGACGCTGAGCAGCCATATTCCCGTTCGCTTCTACAAACTCAACATCTAGTTTAAACGCAGCTGAGTACTGCCTCCTCGCACCGCTAGACATATTCAGTGAACGAAAAAAAAAAGGGCCACTAAAAATGCAGCGCAACATCAAGCGGAGCGAAAACTCTGTACAGATCGGAAGCAAATCACGAA